ACAAATACAGGAAAGACTCCTTCGAGATCACTCTTCGATTCGTAATTTCACTCCCTCCCGCGATGTTCCTCCAAATTTTCATCAAGTTTCAAAATTTTCGGGAAAGAAAAATCCCGATTGAATTTCAACCCGATTTCAACTCGTCGGAATCGTAGAACGATCGACTTTAAACTTTCTCGTCACTTATCTTACGATTCCCGTGCCGGCGGAGTTTTCAATTACAGGATGAACCATCAGAGCGAACCGGAGCAACTAATACGGATTCAAGTTCGGTGTCTCTTTTTAATCCGATTACTTCTCACAATACGTTCCTACATCTCTGTACTCACATCCCCGAGAGGTTCATTAATATTAAGAGCTTAATTAAAGCGAGAAGCGAGTTATTAGGACTTCTCTAGGAGGTATTCAAGTTACATCCTCCGGTATCCTCGAACCATCTTTTTTTCCTTTTTTTTTTTTTTTTACCATCCGAAGAAACTTTTCTTCCTGCCGACAAACTTTTTTTATCCGTCCATCTATACCTGTCTCTGTGCAATTTCAACTTATATTCTATCTCTCGAAATTTCTCTTTTTTTTTTTTTTTTTTCATTTGTCTCGAAATAAAACGAAACGTTTCTCACACATAACTCGGTTAAAATTAAATTCGCTTAACGCTAACTTTAATAATTTTTTTACCTCGACACGAAGTAACTATTTCAAAATGAAATAGTGACCGCGTCATCGATTTTCAACGACGAGAGATAGGCGACGATAAAAAAGTCTTATACGATATTCTCGAAGGAAAGGCGAACTATGCTCTCGAATCGGCCGTCGTAACCGGATCTATCCGATATATCGATGAAACTCGAGAGAGAACGTTATTCGCGGTTGATTCGGGGAGAGCCGAGTACCGAGATATTCCGCGTTTGCAACGATTTTTGGTTATCACTCGTAACTCCCGTGGGCGCAGTTAATTTCAGAATGACTTTGTACCACGATCTCCCCTGTTCGGCAGCATTAGAATATCCCCTCGTATCCATGGTTTATCAGGCTTATCGGCCGGGAATAAATTTCCATATATCTGAATTTGAATCTCCATATTTGAATCTGAAAATATTGATTTGACTCCTAGCCGGGGCGGCGTGATGCGTTTCGACGGAGCGAGGCGGTTCGATTGGGGAGGGGAGGGGAGGGTTCGATCCGGGCCGGATGAAAAGTGAGAGGAAGATGTTTGTCGATAGTTTCTGTCTCACCTTCCACCCGGATTAAATTGTTTTCGATGAATTTATAGTGATTTGCCGCGGTCGCAATCTCCTCGGACTAGAAAGCGATTTCCATACGAGAACGAAGTTTGTCGATAAAAGTTCGATAGAATTCCGCGCATCATCGTGGATAGCGTGAAAGCGATCGGTGGATACCGATATATGGAGGTTTCGTTCAAATTTATGATGTATCGTCGTTTCGACGATAACACCCTGGCCGGGTCGAAGCGAAGACGGCCACCGAGTGATGTAACGAACCACTTTAATTAGATGAAACGTCACTACTCTGGTAATTGCGCAAACCGCACAGTGACTGCGGTCCGCTTGTTTCTCGTCTCGCAGTCTCATTTACCGAATTTGAAACTAATAACACGGGCCGGCGGAGCCAGTTGACCAATTTTCCTCTCATCGATAATAATTTGGCACGTATCGCGCCGCCATTACGAGCCTTTCACCTCTTAATAATTAAAGGTGTTAAGATTTGTAAAATGCGATCTCAGCACTTTCCTCCGCATTTTAATCATTTTCGATCGTCGACGAATACGTAATTACGTGGTCCCGTCTTTTTAATCGAGTCGAGAAATTCGAACGTGTAACCCAAAAATAAAAAAAAAAAGAAAAAAAGAAGAAGCGAAATATTACGAAATCGTTCTTTTTTTTTTTAAATGAAATCTATTAGAAACCTTTTATATCAATTTTCATCTTTACAATATTACGTACACGGAACTTTGTTAACTAAGTGCTCGAGATCGCATTACGTGTGGGATCCATTATCGTGTATGATATTTTGTCCATATTATTTCTGCAGTTCTTGCTTTCTAGTAATCCGCAATTTACAACGCTATAAAATTATGTAAACGTTTGCGCATTATGTTACCTCTGGTCGCCGATACTCCGCAAATATTTTTATCGTCTTAATTTCTCTCTTCTCCTTATAAATAATTACTTTAAAGGCAATTTTTAATAATTATTTGAGAGAAATTCCTCGCACGAGTATTTCGTATTTTCGTATTTCGCAGAGGCCACCCCGTGTCATTTCGCGAATTCTTTCCATCCCCCAAGAATCTTCCCAAGAATCTTCGATACCCGAGATCGCGAATCGAACTTTGTATTCACGCGCCACAGTTACGGAAATGCGGCCTAAAGAGTACAAAGTAAATCCCCGTGGTCGAGTAGCGTGGAGGCAGACGGTAGGAGCGGAATTTTCGCCAAGTCTGCATTTCTGCTTCACCGACCGCAAACGTAACCTTATGCAATAATCGGAAAGGCTTTCGAGTCGGACAGACTGTGCTTCTCATGAATATATGGATGGATGTTCTCGCTCAAGGTGTTTATCAAGCCGTTTTCTAGTTACGCCCCTTCCCTTTTTCGCCCTTTTCGCGACCCTCTCCCTTCCTCCGCAAGCAAACATAACTCGCTTGAAAGAAAGCTTAAAGAAAGAAAAAAAGATATTTCGTTAAAAGGGATTTCGTCGTGTTCCCTCCTTTCGCCGATTTCCCTTTCACCATTCGCTTCTCTCACCTTCGCCTTCCTTTATTCCATCTATTTGTTAAATACGCCTTCTGCCCATGATTTCTGATGACTTTTAATCTTCGTTTATATTACGAATCCAATAATCTAACCGGTCACTATCGGTTATTTTAATCTAATAATCTCTTGTCCCTCGGGTGAAAAATTATAATTGATATAGGGAGATATGTATTGGCGCCCTTTACCGAGCCGTTTCAACTCGCAGAGCAGATTCTTTTTTTCCCAGCTCTGCTGAAAGCTACGTTTCTAGCATATCTGAAAGTGGTTCCTAATTAAATCGAATAATTTCGCAAACCCGGTTAAAATATTAGCTAGCTAGTGTGAAGAGTGAGAGTCGCGTATAATGTCAAAGTATCTATAAAGTGATTATAAAACTGGTCCTGGTGAAAAAGGTCCGCCGGGGAAAATATCGATGCGTTCGTAGCTTCGTTATTAATTACCAATATGGACACATCCGAGCGCACAGACTCGACTTTGGAATCGAAGACTCGTTTTTCACTGGAACCCGATTCAACGACAGGATTGTAATATTCTCGCAGGATTATAATATATCATGGTCGATCGTCGTAGATACAAATACGATTATTTAAATGGGAGGCCAGAAAGTTAGAAATCAATCCGATGAATCATCGACATCGAAGGAAGAAAAGATTAAAAAGATTCATACAACTTCGTGTACGAAGATACACGAATTTTTCTTTTCCTGAAAATTAAATCACCTGTTGCTCGAAAGAAGCTTAAAAACTATTCTCACATACATTTCCTTTTTTGTCCACGAGTTTAAAAAAGATGGGATTAGAAACGCGAAGAAGATGGTAGCTGATAACGAGTTGGGCGACAATGGTTTCGTTCACCGTGACGCTTAACAACTTCCTTCGCGTATCGCGTACTTATCTTCCTTCTAATTAAGCATCGAGCATCGAGCATGATGCCGGGAATATCATTCAATTAAGTACATAACGCGCGCGTGTCAGACAGAAGAGGTGAAAGTTTCACGGCGATCCCTTTGCGAATCTCGAGTTATTACAATATATATTTTCCTTATTTAATTACCATTGTCGATGGAAATCGACGAAAAGCCGGTGGCGTGGCGTGATTAATTACCGTTCAGCTCGATATCGGGGAGCGTGCGCGAACGCACACGAGTCCCTTCCCTTCGCGAGGATAACGACCCCGATCATTTTCACCCGATGTTACGCGCACACGTTACCAAAAAACACTTTCTGTCCCGAAAAACCTTTCTTCGGATCTCGTGTAACGCATCAAGTTTCGCAGGGATAAAAGATTGGACGGATCGAAGGAACGAAAATATCCGAAAATAATTGGTTATCGATCGACTTTGCCGAAAGGATATCGAACCTTTACGATCACGACGCCCCTCTTACGATTGCACGACGACGTTTATCGCGTTTACACCCGTCTCAATTACGTAAAAACGGTTCCACAATCGGTCCAAGCAAATATGCATCGGTATGCCACGAAGCCTCGTTAGACGTTTAATCCACGGATTAAGTTTCCTCGATCGAAGAAGCAATTTGCCCCGATCCAAATTCGTTCCAAAGCGGACACGTGACGTAACGCTTTTATAACACCCATATCGAGCAGTTGGAAACGCGCTGAGTTAAGAGAAAGACAACTGGACAATGCGAAAGTGAAAGAAAGAAAAAAAAAAAAAAAAAAGAAAAGAAAAGAAAAAGAAACAACGTTTCCTTTAAAGAGATCTCCTACACGAAATATCCTTCTTCCGCCCGATCTCGAGAGGAGAGATCTCGAAAGAAATCGGTCTCAAGAGCGAGAGATGGTTGCGTAAGAGATTCGGGAGGCTCGATCGGAATTACGTCCGGAAACGATTTTACGAGGCACGAGCCACTCCTCGCCACTCCTTCCCCGAACGAGTGAAAGAAAAAGAAACCGCGAAGAGGACTGGGCGATCGTTGCACGGTAAATTGCACGGGGCTCCTCCTCGCCGAACGAGTGAACGGATAGGCTCTCGATACGAAACGGTACGAGCGGTGCATCAGGGGGGTTGTGTTACGCGTGCGGCGTATCCGGGGATCCGGTAGTAATCAACCAGCCGGTCGATAGCCCGTGGGAAAACGGCTTAACGCCGAACGAACGCCTTTGCACGGTGGCGGTGTGGTAGTCAACAATCGGTCCACTTTAACGTCGGTGGACGAGTAGGATTTTCCGGGGAGTGGGCCAGCAGCCACGGCGAAAGTGGCGGTATATATGCCAGTGATTGGTCCGATGTAGCTTCAGTGTGCACCTTCGAACGATACCATGAGCACTCCGCAGGTGAGCTCCGGGGTTCCCCCACACGATACTCGTCGCGTAGATCGCGTCGTTCGAACGCTCACGGTACAGAACAAAGGGATAGAGACACGAAAGGGTATTACGTAAAGGGTGGTGGGTTCAAGCGGAGAAAGTTCAGACACGCGGTTTCGCGAAATATTCTTTTTTTTTTTTTTTCTTTTTGCGAAGAGGAGGGAAAAAAAGAAGATTTTATTTCCTATTGTTCTCTTCCCTACTGTTCTCTGTTCTGCATTCCCCCCTCCCACTATATCGTTACTTATATATATATACGTTACGTATAGGTGTATTTCAAAGGAACCGCGGTTTCTCCACATTACGGATATTGTATTACGATTAAACGTTACACTACGTTTACTTTTTCTTATTTATCGAATCTCGCGCTTTCACCGCGCACTTTCTCCTATGTTAGAATATTAGATGTTTTTTTCTCTTTCGAATAAATAAGCGCAAATCACATGGTTCGACGTCGCATGGAAAACACACGATCCCGGTACGTGTAGAGAGAAACACGATAAAAATTAACCACGTTTCCAGAAGCTCATAATACTCGCCCTAGTGGCGACAGCCCTGGCCGGCGATGCCAAGGAGACGAACACGAAGCCGGCCGTAGCCGAGACGAAGGAAAAGAGTAAGCGAGGATTGGAGCTGAGTCTTGGGGGCGGCGGAGGGTTGGAGAGTTACGGCGGCGGGGGCCTGGAACACGGTTACGGAGGAGGTTTGAGCCTCGGTGGTGGCCTCGGTGGAGGCCTTGGCGGAGGTCTGGGTGGAGGATTCGGCGGCGGCGGTGGAGGTGGAGGCGACGGAGGTCGCATAACGGGAATCACGATCCACAGAGAGAACCAAGTTCGTGTGCCCCAACCGTACCCGGTCGAGAGAAACGTACCTGTACCGTATCCAGTCCCGGTTAAAATTCCCGTGGAGCGGCCAGTCCCGGTGCACATACCGAAACCGTACCCAGTCCCCGTAGAGAAGACGGTCCCAGTTCCAGTGGAGAAACCGGTCCCGGTGCCGTACACCGTGCCCGTCAAAGTGCCCGTCAAGGTGCCTTACCCGGTCAGCGTGCCAGTAAAGGTCCCAGTCGCGATCGAGAAGGAGGTTCCTTACCCAGTCAAGGTTCCTGTTGTTGTCAAGGAGTCATATCCAGTTCTGATTAGCGGTGGCGGCGGCGGTGGTGGTTTAGGAGGTGGTTTGGGAGGTGGACACGGGGGTGGATTCGGAGGTGGACACGGAGGTGGATTCGGAGGTGGACACGAATTGTCACTCGGGTTACATCATTGATATGGATGAACGTCGCCGTTTTGTGCGGTTATTCGTCCACGCTTTTGTATTTGTATATATAACGATTATATTTTTTTATGGAAAATAAATATTAAATTATTAAACGGTGTTTGTATTGGTACGTGTTTATTGGTTCCGATCACTACCTCGAAATATTTTCAATTAGATTAATAGTTTTCGAAAAAACTCTTTTTATAATCTTTGATATAGAAAGGCAAATTTGGAAAATGTTTTTTTTTTTCTTTCATTAAAATATGAAATTGGATTCCGCGTTGAACATTTTATAAACTATTTATTTTATCGTTCGTCAAGAGATTAACCGTATTTCTGGTGTTCACAGCTTTTTCACAGTTCTGCAATATAGTATAGATATATTTTTATTATATCGCAATTCGATAACAGCCTTTTAAATAATATTTCCCTGTTTTACTCTCTTTTAAGAGAAGCAAATTCGCTATTCTTCGTTCAATGCGCGTTTCTGTAGAAAATCGAGGCGGAATGCGCATTATAAATTAAATTACGATTCTCATTTCTCATCCCGGAATATTATTTAATTCATATTTTTGCCTCTCTTGCCTCTTTTACATTTGTTAGATATCATCGCTTTATGGCATGAAATAATTGAAATTTTTTATTCGAAATCTTATATATCTTCTAACAATGAAACTGTTTGTTTCACAAAAAAGCGTTTAATTAATTTTTGGATTTCCTCGCAAACATATTTTTTTATTTTTTCCTTTTTTTTCAACATTTTCGTTACGACTATGTATATTTCACGTAACAAAAATTTCTTAAAAAGCTTTTATTTCGATCGATACTTTATATTATTAACTGTATAAAATGTACGTACGATTCAATTTTACAAATTTAAAATGTATCCTGGAATAACGTTCATTAATGAAACTAACAAAACACGTTATATTACAGGAAACAAATGTTGTTTACGATCCCCTGCTTGTTATGGAATCGTCGGTTACTAATTAATGACAGGTACGTGCACTCTGTTCCATTAATTATAAAAATATTTCGATTTCCGTCGTTCGATTAATGTCGTACATTGAAAAGGCGCGAACACGTCTGTGTCGAACACGCACGGAACGATCTCCTTCCATCCATCGTTCCTCCAAAATTTGAAGAATTTCTTTTACGTCCCATACCTATCTACGCCACATTTATTTCCCGTTTTCACTTTTACTTTCCGTTTATTAACCTTAAATGCAGATTAGAAGAAAGGGAGAGTCTTCTTTTCTCGAGACGAAACGCGTAATCGTGGCACGTGGGCGTCGCGACGTCTCGTCAACGTCGCCGCCGTCACCGCGAACATCCGGTGCTTTAAACGACGTGATTCGCTGTTACGGTTCGTTAACCGCATCCTCTCCCGTGTCTGGAAACGCCGATTTCTCGATATACACCGGTTAAACACTTATAAAGAAACTGTGGCCTCGCGTGAACGGAGAAACTGTGGTCCGACTGTGAACGACAGAGGCCAACTCGTGAGATCACGCGCACCGGAAGCAAGGTAAAGGTCAAGACAATTTTTATTCCGCATCTGCGATACCCCGTTCCTCCGGGCTTCGTTGTTTAGATGGCAACTTAACGATGTTTGCCAGTAATTTTATTTCTAACGTTTACAGAGCAATCTATATAAATGCGTCGTCCTCGTCGTCGTCGTGTGTACACGTCAACCTTCATTCCTCTTTCTCTGTCCTCTTTTATTCTTTCGTATCGGTAAATATTCGTGGAAAAAGTTTCTCAAACACGCGAGCACCGACGAGATAGCAGATCTTTTATATATATATATATAAACCTCCTTATCGTTTTGTAATTTGTCCGAGTGTTCCGCGAAGTGAAAGTTCCCATTTATGTGGATCGATCCATCGCGCAAATGTTTCTACAAATCGAATCGAACGGACGCGCCATTAACATCGGCTTTCATCACTTTTTATCCCTGTCTCTCTTCGCTACGCGGACAAGATTTGCGTACGTGCGTAACGGGTTGAAGCATAAATTTATTCGCGGTTACGTACCAGCCACAGACGGGAGGGAAGGGGGGAGGCAACGATCATCGACATTTCGCGCCTAATTACGATCGTTTCGAGCCGAGGTGAAATCGTACAAAATCGTCTTTCTTTCTGTCTTATCTATATACCGTTCCGTTCCGTGGCTTGTGCAATCCGCCGATGCAATTTTCCTCGCCAAGACGGTTGAAATAAACGGAGATGCTGTAATCTCGCTTCGGCAAAATTGTACACAAGATTCCACGCCGAGATGTGTTTTGCGTCCGAGTTTACGCTGCCTCTCTCTCTTTCTCTCTCTCTCTCTCTCTCTGCGTATTCCGTCTAATCCCATAAAACTCGAAATCCTTTTGATCTCGCAATGACGTTTTCGTTACAACGGGCCGTTTTAATGCCACTCTCGCGGAACGAGATTACCTCGCGTATCGCAGCCGATCCATTGCCATCAACTTACATTTTCAAAAACGTAATAACTGGATACATTTTACACGGGGCTCGCTTTATTCTTTCACAAACGTTTGAATAACGAGGCAGTTTGTCCCGAGAAGGAGGAAATACGATGCGCACGACGATAACACGGCGATCGTTACGTGTAATTCCGCGATGGCTTTTGATCCCTCGTTTCATTTTGCGTTTTGAAACATCTTTGGTAGATAGGTTAAGAGTACGTTTTAATCGAGGGAAAAGAGAAATATTCGAAATATTATATAATTTAGTTACTCGTGTGATCGCAATTTTATACATGGATCGTATTTTATATCATTTAATTAATCGTACTTTCGTACGACTTAACGAGGTTTCGTTGAATTTTATTTTACCCATCGCTAAATCCGTGATTTCTCCGGCCCCAATTCTCTCGACTATCGCTTCGGCTCTTCACTTCGATCAAAGAATCGAAAATTATCTTGCGATGTATTTTTATTCGCTCTTTCATCCTCGAGAACGAACGAATCTCACTTTACTCGAGCGACATCGAGTAAGATCGTATAAAAATCACGTTGATTAAATTATGGTCCACGAAATGAAAGAAATGAAAGAAAGCTCGAAATATTAGTTACTCGACGGAGGAATAATTACGATAAGCGAGTCAAAAATTGTCAGCCGGAATAAATGGCGACGACACCAGCTACGAGAAATCGCCGCGTTGCGTTATAGCTCCTTATCGTGGCGATAATTTTATTTTAACCGCGGTCGTTTCCTCTCGGTAACAACCCGCTTTTATCTACCATCTGAAAAATTACCGGACAGGCGGGCAATCATCGGTGCATAAACGGACAACACGCGAGAAACTCGACCGACTGTGCAAAGATGTAATTTATTGTGTGTTATACACGTAATGTGTTACGTCGTAGAAGCGAGGAGATTCTCTTCGACCTCGTTCCGCTCGCGGACGTTCTTAAACGATAAGCAAACATATCCGTATTTCTCGGAAACGTAGATACGCGACTTTGTTTATATATTTTCATAAACCGAGGAGAAATTCGCCGAATTAATTTGCCTCGAACGGGCGACCGAATGTCGTTTCGACACAACGTTTACACAGTCGGTTACGCGGCTTCGTCGCGTTCGCGTCGTTCCTTCTCTCCTCTCGCACGCGTGGCGACCGATCGTTCGCAGTTGAATCTAACGGTAAAAGTGGTAAAACTTGCATTCGTTTCGCAATCTCGGGGAAAGAGAAAGGTGAGGGGAGAGAGAAAGGTAAGGGGAGAGAGAAAAAAGAGCGAGAATAATCGAAAGAGAGGCGAAAACGAACGTTTCGGAGCGAATATCGCGCGTTCACACGCCTCTTCCCCCTTTCTATTCTTCCTTCTTCCTTGTAAGCGGCGGAAACTTGCCATAAACGGGTTCGTTTCGTAACCATAATAGAGCAATTATCGCGGGGTTTCAATTTCTTCCGTCGATCGTTCCATCGATCTTCCTTTCCGTTTCTTCCCGTTTCCCGACCGCGAGCAAGATATCCCGTTTTCGTCGTTTCGTCCTCCTTTCTCTTATCTTCCTCCAAATCGATCTTGTGTTAAGAATTCGAGGAACGAAATTTCTATACCCTTTCCTTTCTCGAGCGAGATCCTAACTTTTGCACACGGGGAGCAATAAAAGATCGACTCAGGCCGGAAGCCTGGCAATTTCTCCGGAAATAGTTTTCATAACGGCGAGGCGCGGTCACCGGTGCATGCAGTTAGACGGTGTCCCGTGTATCTCAGATCTATGAGCTTGAGGTTTAGAGCTAAACGTAAATCATATTATTAAGCCCGGTTCGTACTGAGGTTCGTGTTAATGTCCGATCAGCCCGATTTCGCGTGATCCAGCTACAGCTGCCGCACTGATATCTCCGAGGCAATGTCCTCTTCGATCGATAATTTAACGGGGATAATTTAATTAAAGCCTTCTCGTTTCGTGAATTTTAATCCCTCTTGTGCGAAGTTATAAATAAAAAGAATCTTCCCTTTCTTCAACGACAAAATTAAATACTCAATTCAACTTCGTGATTACAAATTATTGGCCATTTCGATTTTGGAAGAGCTTTCCCGGAAGAGCGATAAATATAAAAGATATATATATATATATACACGCATAATTGTTACAATTAAACGAAAAAGTCCAGGATCGCGTACAGAATAGTGTAACAGTGGTAGTGCAAGGCTATGTCGTTTATATTCTAACGATATTGTTTTAGGAATTGGAAACAAAGCCCACGATTTGTGAGGAGAGACTATTTTGCTTTTAGCATCGCTAATGGTGGAGAGAGGGGATCCATGGATAATTTGCCCGTGAATGGAATTAACGCCGTTAGTTAATAACACGCATGATTTCGAGTCGCTAATTAAAAGATTTACGAGATAATGGAGGGGCAGAGACCACGAGAACACGAGGTACGTGGCGAAATAGTTTTCCAAATTCTCTTATTAACGCGATTATGTACAAAACGTCCCGTACAAAACGTCGAATTATTATTTCGCGTGAGGGGGAAGCGAATTGTTGAAAGAA